TTATATAGTGCTGTAAGTTTTGCAAAGTATGTTACAAAGATTCTCTCATTTTATCCTCATAACAACCCTGGGAGGTAGGTGCTAATGTTATCCTCATTTTACAGATGAGAGAGGTTAAATGACTTTCCTGGGGTCACACAGCTAGATAAGAGTCTGAGGTCAAAATTTGAACCCAGGATTTTCTGACTTTTGAATCTCTAGTATTCTAAACTGTATCTACATATATAGTATATCATTCTCCTGATTTATCCATCTATTAATCCTATTTAAAAAAAAAGAGCAATGACATGACCTGTTCTTGATGAAACCATGCTAACTCTCTGTGATCACGATTTCTCTCATCTGTCAGGCATTCTGAATAAGGAGCAATAAATGGGGAAAAAAGCATTTTTAATTTAGGGATTCAAACTAGAAAGGCTTTTATTCTTCCTGATCTAGCATTCATTCTCTGGTGTGTAAAGTAACCAGGAGGAACATTCATTAACTCTCTCAAGACATTGAATTACAATGTCATATATTACCAAGGATTGGAGGATTATGACCTCTATTATGCCACGAGAACAGATTCCCATGTTGCCAGGTCACAGTTTCCAGAGTCAACCGCCTGTGATGTTCTTCCCAAACCCCATCAACTAGAAAAACACAAACAGGGCAGATAACCCTATAGGATACCAAGGAATTATTCAGTTGACCTCTGGGATTATCTACTATACTGTTATATTAGTACCAGCCTATACAAAAGTGTTTTAGCAAGTTCAGGATAATGCTACTAGATATTACTATAGGTAATGGAGATACTTATTATATAATCATGTTCCTTTAATTTTAAAAAATCCTTATAATTTTTTATTTGAAAAAAATGTGCATTGCCTCAGAAATTACCAGTGTTTCTTAGAACTAAGTAATAGAAAGGGAAAATATAGTTCATATGGCATTTTGTGGTGATTTTTTTAACAGAAGAAATTGTCAGGAATATATGGATGGAAGAGATGATCTAGAAATGGGAGAGTATAGGTAATTTAGTTAAATGTTTTAATGAGAAGTTTGAGATATGGTCTTGTCACTGGTTTCAAATAGTATTTGTTCCCCATCCCCTCAAAATGCAGCCCCAGGATTTCAGCATCCCTACTAGGTCTTAACCTTTTATTTTGTCAGTCTTTCTAATTCTTGACACTGTTATCACTCTTATAAAAATAATCCTGTTGTTCTCTGTGCCTTTTTAGTATGGTTAAGCTTTACTGCTTTTTATCTGAGCTCAAAGCACTTTTTCACAGGCTCCTAGCATCTTTGTGAAGTACTTATCAAGAAAGAAATCAGTATTTTATAGAGTCCAGTGTTACAAGTCACAAAAGGTCACCAAGTTCATAGGACCTGCATGCTGCAAGTGACCCTTAAATACATAGCGATGTCTGAGACTGCTGACCCTTTTGTTCTGAACATTGTGCTAATGATGCCAAGGTCATGGGTTTGATCTCCTCACAGGACAATCAAATCATCTATTATGTGATCTCAGATTGTATTCCTGGGAGTATCTAGACATCACATAATGTTGCTGTCAATCATAACAGAATCCAGTGAGAGATTGTACTTGACTCAGAAAATCCAGGATCATTGGAAAAAACACCTCCAAAGTTCATATTCTATTAAACTTGGGTCAGAAAGGCCAACAAAGATATCCTGGCATTTGTTAAAAGGTCCTATAGTTTACAGAAATTGTCAAGAAACAGCAAATACCTATTATCCACTTGGGATATTCTGAGAGAGAGCCTGGCGTAATGAAAAATGGTTTGGCCTTAACATAAGGAAGACTTTGGTTCAAGCCTTTTTCTCTAACAAATGTGAGCTGCGTGAAGATAGACATGGCGTTTAAATTCTCAGTGCTCAAGGCCACCCTTGAAGACTATAAATTACAGATGAGGTTTGGGAAAATTTCCATGCGTGATTTAACTCTAGCATTAGTCCTGTAAAGCCCTTCACATTCTCAATCCAGCCTATCTTTGAAGACAGGGTTCAAGTTATTCTCCTTCATACAATCTCTCTTGCAGCCAAAGTGGTCTTTGTGTAAGATTCCTCAATCACATTTTAATTCTCCTGTATGCATTCCATCTCCTCCCTACATGCCTTTACATAGGTTGTTCCCATACCTAGAATGCTTTCTTTCCAATCATCTATTTCTTAGACCACTTTGCTCCATTCAAGCCTCCACCTAAGTGCTAACTCCTGCACAACTTTCCAGATCCCCCAGTTGTTAGTATTCCTCCTTGTATCCAGTTACATTTTATTTACTTTGCAAATGGTATATTTTGTATGTTATCTGTTGTGTTCCTCACCCACCCACTCACTCAGTAGAACATGAATTCCTTGAAGACAAGAAGTGTTCTATTTTTGCTTTTGTATCCTTAGGGGAATAGTAACTGGCATATAGTATGCACTTAATAAACTGAATTGGCTTGAAATGGGGGTTTTGGGGGAATGGAAACACTCATCTTAAATGGATCTTGAAGATTCTTCATTTTGTAAAAGCATTCTTTATTAAAGAATTCACTAAATATTCCTTTAAAATGATGAGTATTCCTAGTGCATTTAAAATATGATATACTCCCTAGACAGTGCTATAAATCGAGATATTCAATAAATATTTTTATTGGTTATCGATTGACATAATTTGTTTGCCAGAGAATACCTATCATGGTAAACATAGAAAGAATTCTGGATTGGAAGTTAGGAGAGCTGGTTTAAATCTCAGTTCTAGTGCTTGCTTCTACCAATGTAAATCTGTCTCCTGTAAAATGAGGGGGTTATACTCTAAGGGTCCCTCAAGCTCTAAAGCCTTTGAATCCTATGATTACTAAAGAAATGTAAAGGGGTTTTATTTGTCTAGCACAGAGATGGCAAACATGCAGACTCCTGCAGCCTACAGCTCTCCTGAATGCAGCCTGAAACCAGATTAAAATATAATTGGGGAATCTTAAACAAAATAAATAAAAATAAAATAAAGCATAGATAATATTAGCATGTGGTTTTCTAAATCAATATGAGACCTGCAGAGATACTTGTGTATGCCCTTTTTCTATTTGTTTGACAGGACTGGTCTAGCATAACAGGGAGATTCACTATTCTGCAGGGATCTATGTTGTAGTAGGAGTACTAGGGCTGAAAATCAGGAAACCAGCATTATAGTCAGGATTCTGGAGGTAATTCATTCAAACGATGCAGCAATTTCATTAAGTGCCTACTATGTGCCAAGTACTAACTAGCTTTGTGACTTTGGATAAGTCATTTAACTTCCTTGAGGCTCTGTTTCCTCATCTATAAGAAGAGAACATTGAAAGAAGGATGATTTGTAAAGTCCCTTTCAGGTCTTAAAAAAAAAAAAAAAACTGCCAAGATAATTTCCAGAATAGGATTAGGGGTAGGGACTGGACCTGTGATTTTATTTCCAGATAATTGTGAATTAACCCGCTGTATTTTAAAAGTTTATTTTAATCATTCCAAGAGAAAAAAATAAAATATATTACATGCTTCCCTGTCCTAATAAGTGGAGAATATTGGATGCCATTTATCCTTTAATGGCTCAGAATTATTGTAAATATCAGTTATTGTACTATATAGTGATCACTCAAAGACTAGTGAAGTATATAGAGCATAAAATTGGTCTGCTGAAATTCCTTGAAATCACTGAAATAGTTGATTTTGTCATTTCCCCCATAGGAATTTTCCTTCAGATGTAGACACTTTCTGTCCCTATTCTAAATGGCCCCAGATTTCTTTACTGAACCCTCTATCTCATCTTGCATAAGCACTTCTACATTCAATTGCCATATCATTTCATGGGGACTTTTGTCAACGGATACTTTTCTGTCCATCTCCTCAGGACCACTAACCTTTTTACATCTCAGCTGTTCACCTCTTCCATCTTTGATGGTAATTGATGGTAATTGATGGTTGAGCTTAAGGCTTCCCCCTCACCAGTAAGAAAACATCATGTGTAAAATTAAGCCAGATATCTTTTTGAGAAGATATGCTTGATAGGGTGGGACTAGTACCTCCCATGTTGACTAAATTGCTAAGCTTTATAAGAGTTACTTTCACTGGTTTTAGATGCTTTATTGCTTGCTTCCAGATTGCTTTTCATCTAATTTGGAAGGTTGAGGTTACCTGAATGCTTATGGCCAGGTAATAACAATAGCTCACACTTATATAGTGCTTTGTGGTTATAAAAGTACATTCCCATGTTGTAGGTGGGACTACTGAGGCTCAGAAAGATTAAGTGATTTGTCTAGAGCAGGGGTGGGGAACCTGTAGCCTTGAGGCCACATATGGTCTTCTAGGTCCTTGGGTGTGACCTTTGGATTAAGTTCAAGTTTTACAGAACAAATCCTTTTATTAAGGGGATTTGTTCTGTGAAGTTTGGATTCAATCAAAGGGCTTCATTTGAGGACCTAGAGAGCCACATATGGCCTCGAGGCCACAGGTTCCCCACTCCTGGTCTAGGGCCCACAGCGAGCTAGTAAGCACCAAATCAGTGACTTGAACCCAAATCTTCTCACTCCTAATCCAGTGGCTCAGATACATTGTTTCATATATAGAAACATTGAATTTTAGAATTAGGAAACCTTAGAGATTATTTTGTCCAACCCTTTTCACAAAGGAACTGAATACTAGGTTTCAATTGCTTTCTCCTATGATGTTTTGTCTTGCCTTTCTTGCTCCTCAGGTTGTAGTGAAGACACTCCAAATATAGTAATATTAAAGTCCGTAGAGGATAGCAGTCATTCCATGAACATGCACTACAAAGTCACTTAGAGTAAAAAACAAAACAAAACAGAAACCTTAATATTTTTGGATAGATGAAAGTACATTGAGTTGCATTTGCATTTTTATTTCATGATTAATAGATTATATTTATTTGTGTGTGAGTGTGTGTGTGTGTGTGTGTTGAGAGCTCCTTCAGCTGGGTTTTTCCCTTTTTGGTACACTTATCTCATTTATTTTTACAGCTTAAATAAACTTCTGCCCAAAGCAACTGGCAAGTGATTATTTGAAGAAGATTCAGTATAGCATCTGGGAAGTCATTAACGCCACAATGAAGCACTTCCTGAGGTAAGCATTTTTTTTTAACTTAATGGCACACACTGGTGTGCACCAGTTACTATTATCCTATCTCCAGGTCACTCAATATTTCAAGTTAAATGAGATTGAATATTTGGAGAAATACTGTTTTTATAACTGTTGATAATTGTTGGTATAATACTGTTTATCACTGTACTTCACCTTAATTCTGTTTTAACTTGCATTGGGAGTCTTTGCAGATGAAAAGAGAAGCAGAAGGAACAGAAACTACAAACATGAAGGAACAAGAGAGTAAAACCCCAGCCCCGTGCGTGTCTCAATTTCGTAGAAGATGGCACTCTGGAAATCAGTGGTGGAAAGATTTTCCTTTGTTAAAAGCAATGAAGTTTTATGTTAAATGCTTTTCCTGAATTAATCGATTTAAAATATCACAAATTTAGATTTTATACTTAAAATAGTTAGCCCATTTAGGTTTCTGTTCATTTTCAGTTACAAAGATTTTCTTGTTGTCTTCTTATTTTGCAGCTACTTCTGTTCAGTTCTGCAAATATTTGCTAATCAATCAACATTTATGGAGGACTACTGTGTACAGGGCAAAGTGTTAGGCACTGGAGGAAATGAAAGATGGGGTCCCTGCCCAATGGAGTTTATACAAATATTTATAATATGTGATATTATATAAGGTGTCCCAAAAGTCTTAGTGCAGTTTTAAGCTTTAATATCAAGTTTTAAGCTTAGTAAAAGTGAAGCTTTTAACTATTAAAACTTAAAACTGCACTAAGACTTTTGGGACACCTCTTATAATAGATACAGTAGAAATCCCAACAAAGTGCTATCTGTGTTAGGACTAAAGAGGAAGGTTGTTATCTACTGAGGGGCTTAGGGAAGGTTCTGTGTAGTAGCATGGGGAGTGTTCAAGACACAAAGAATTATATATTGGATTTGGGTGCTTTCACTGCCTTGAAAGGAATAACATGAGATAGGGCTGGAAAGGTATTACGGTCCCAAATTATGGAAGGCTTTGAATTCCAGGCAACCTGGAGGTCAGTAGGAGCCTCCTGAAAATTTTTGAGCAGAGGAATAACATGAACAGATTTGTGCCAGTGAAAGTTTATTGTAACAGTGATTTGGATTGGAAAAGGTAGAGAGAGGAGACATGAAGATGTGATAGGAAACTACCATATTATTATTACAGGAAGATAATAATGAGATCTATTAGATAGTTGACTTTGGGAAATGAGAAGAAGGGATGGATGAGAGAAGTTGTGAAAGCAGAATTGACAAGACCCATAGAGCTGATTGGATATGAAAGTTAAGAGAAAAGAATAGGTTAGGTTCAAAAATAGGTTAGGGCTGTAGGATAACAAGTGAATAGTAGTGATGCAGACAAATAGTAAAATCAGAAGGAAGAATGAATTTAAGGAGAAAGGTAAGAAGTTTGATTTGGGACAGTGCTGAGTTTAGGTTTTTAAAATTCTGAACTTAAACAACAATAAAGAACATTGCCATAGATGTAGCAGAACACAAAAAGAGGATGTTCTATGAAACTGTGAATCTATCTAAGTCACTTGGTTTTTTTTTAAAAGTACATCACAAATTCTACATATAGTATTACTTTCAAAACTCTTGTTTATCTCTGTTTCTTTTTAAATTTCTTTCTGTTCTCTTTTGTGCATTTTAGAAAATATTTCAGTGTCCCTTTTTCTTTTTGATATTACTATTACCAAACTCTCTCTCTCTGCTCCCAATTAAAAACTTAGAAAAATATTTTTTAAAATCCTTGTAAGAAAAGAGCATAGATGGGGGAAATAATAGCCACAGGGTGGCCATATCCAAAAATGTATGTCAATTTCTGTACCTTATTCCCATCTTTTCTCTGAGGAAGTAGGTAATAAGCTTCATCAGAGGTCCTCTGGAGACATGGTTGGTCATTGTTTTGAACAGAGTTCTTATTTCAAAGTTGCTTTTCTTTATAAAATTGCTGTCTTTGGATAAATTGTTCACCTGTTTCTACTCCCTTCACTCTGTGTCCATTTTTAATATCCAGGATTCTCTGAAGTGTCTCTTTCATAACTTCTTATGGTATAATAATAATCCCTTACATTCATATACCACAGTTTATATAGCCTTTCCACAAATGTCTGAAGAGTCAATCTTAGACAACTCCTTAGATTCTATTTCTTTTCTTTTAATCTCCCCCTTTATGGTCAGAAATTTTCTTTTGCCTGTGACCAATATTATGAGGATATTTGATGTTTCTATACCAAATTGTGAGTGTGTATGTGTGTATTCAACATTCCTTTGTCCATCACAGATAAGAATAAGGTTTAATCTGTTCCCCCCATCCCATTCCTCTATTTTTCCTCTATTTTTGTATACATATACCTCACTTTATAAGAAGTGTCAAGTTCTATCCCCTTCTTCCTCTTTTCTATGCTTGTGTATTCCTTTTACCATCCTTTTCTTTAACCTCTTCAAACCTTCAAAATAAAACCAATCCATTACCTCGGACCTCTGTTTTTCATATTTAATTCCCTCAATACACATTAAAGATATTAAGGTTCTGAAGAGTCACTTGGTTCTTTTCCCTCTTTGGAATGTTAGCAGTACATCATCATACAGTGCCTTCCCATTGCTCAAATAACTTTACCTTTCTAGGTTTCTCTAGACTTTTGTGTTTGTACTTTGAAGTTTTTGTTCAGTGTTGGCCTTTTCAACAGAAATGCATAGAAGTCCTCTCTTCCTTTAAAGATCCATTTTCCCCCCTGTAGGATTACATTCAGTTTTTTGGTAAGCCTATATTTTTTGCCTTTTAGAATAAAGTATTCAAAGATCTCTTCTCTTCTTTAGTAAAAGCTGACAAATCTTATGTGATCATGACATTGGTTCCTTGGTACATGAACTTCTTTTTGGATATTTTCAATATGTTTTCTTTGACATGTGTGCTCTGTGTTTTTATGATATTCCTGGGATTTTTCATTTTACTGTTCGTTTCAGGAGGTGATGGGTGATTCTGTCTTCATTTTGTCCTCTAGTTCTAATAGATCTGTTCAGTTTTTATTCATGATTTCTGGAAATATAATGTCAGGGCCTTTTTTAAAAAAATCATGATTTTCAGGGAGTTCAATGATTTTAAATTATTCTTCTTTGACAGATTTTCCAGCCCTATTATTTTTTGTATCAGATACCTTAACATTTTCTTTTTTATCATTTTCAATCTTTTTACTTTGTTCTAATATGTTTTGTTGTCTCATAGTGTCATTGATTTCTGATTGATCTATTCTAGTTTTCAAGGAGTCCATTTTTCAGGTGAAGTTTACCACTTTCTCCTCTCAATTCTTTCTCCAATGTTTTTATTTCATCTTTTATATTTTGCTTCATTTCTTCTAGGAATTCATATAGTACTTGTGTAAAGTCCATTTTTTCTTATGAATCTAAATTAGCAGTTGTTATGAAATTGTTTGTTCCTTTTATCAGAGAGTCTCCAGAGTTACACTTTTCTTTTTTTACACTGGCTGGTCTTTTCTTTGTTTTGCTTATATCTCCAGCTTTACCTACTGAAGTAATGCTTCGTGTCAGGGCCATGCTGCACTTTTGGTGGAGTGGTTTACCCTGCTTGATTTTACCTTGGCTCCCCTAGATTTCTGTGCTGACCCTACACCTCATGAGATAAGGTCTGTGTGTATATTTGAGGTTCACAGTATTCAATCTTCAGGGTGTTCTCTGGAGTCTTAGGATAGAGTGTTAGGGGCCTCCTAGGTCCTAGGGTGAGTGCTGCATGATGCAGTAGCCACTAGCATAACCCAAAGCTTCCAAGGTCCCCACCTTGGGGCTTTCTTGGGTGAGCTCTCTGATCTTTCTGCCTGTAGACTCAAGGTCTTGTTGGTTACATGTGTACCTAGACCATCTGTGATGATGAAAGGTTGGCTTGCACTGGTGGGAACACCTTTGCTACACCTTTTGCTGATGAGGATTACCCTCAGGTTTCTGGCTGACTTTTTGCACCATTCTAGAGTCAAAGAAATAACTTAGTGTAGTGAATTTCTTGATTATTATTCAATCTGTTGAAAATCAGGGTTTGCCGGAATAGGTGTGTGGGAGATAATTGATCTGGCATATCTTCCATTTGGGCAGCTATCTTGGTCAGAATTACATGGTTTGATTTAAGGTCTTAGTGTAGCATCCAGAAATGAGCTTGTAGCAAAAGTGGGGATGTATGTCAATAGCTCAAAAGAAATACCAGGACTAGATATATAGATCTAGATTGTAGAAGAAGCTGAAAGAGTGAATGAAATTGTCAAGGGACAAAATGTGGAAGATGGAAGACAAGAGGGTGAAGGTAAGACCCTTAGGAAAACACTCAAATTAAAGAACAGAGAAGAGACTGAGGAGCCATCAAAAGATAAGGTAAGCAGGAAGATCATTCCAATATGGTGTCACTGAAACTAAGTGAGAAGCGAATATCCAGTTAATGGAAGAGCATAGTCAATGATGTCAGAAGTTGAAGAGAGGCCTAAGAAAATGGACACCCATTTATAAAAAAAAAGATATTAAGCTAAAAGTATTAAGTTGGATTTGGGGAGATTCAAAAGAGAAATAAGAAAATATATGCCTTCAAGGAACTTATACTATAGTAGAAGAAATTATGTACACACAAATAATAATTATGTTTATTATATATTATATATAAACATATGTATTTGTATAAGTAAACAATTATAGTTATAATATAAATGGAACATAAATGTATAAGAAAGATACAAACAACATTCTTTGTGGGGCTTGAGGAAGTTATGATTATTGCCTAATTGGAGGATTCAGGAAACATTTTTGGAGGATGTGCCATTTGAACTGGGCTTTGTAAGGCAGAATTCAACACCAAAGGCCTAGGGTTAGGGAACAGGACGGATGAGATAAGGCAGGCATACTAGGTGTAAGGACCACCGTAACTTATTTAGAAACTGAATTACTAAAATACTGCTGATCTTTTATCCATAGTTCAAATACTTCTTTGCACATAGTAGGTCCTC